GGCAGCTATGGCTGCATCCCTTCCAGCGCACAGTTCTTGTCTAGCGCATCTTCTCCTCCAGCGCTGCTCCTACTGACTGGCGCACAAGCACAACAGCACTTCCACACATCGAAGCCAGTGGAAATCTGCTGAGGAAAGAGGCTGACTGCTGCTTTTATAGTGTTGGCCTCTCCTCGCTGGGTCTGCATTTGGCTGCTTCAGGCCTTCCTTTGTCCCAGACCCTGCATTGCATGTGTCCCAGTACAGTCCCAATGAAGTCAACTGCTGCTGAGGCCTCTCGGTCTGGATTTGGATTTTAGATGTCTGGATCTGGACTGTCTCCTCGACTTAGACCAGAACTGGGACTTTACCTATTGACTTACTTTCGGACAAGCACAACTTTAGACGAACAAACACACTCACTGCCGGAACAGACACTCACATTGTGTGAACAGACACACTGACTGCACGTACAGACACACCCTTATCCGAACAGACATGACATGTATACCTGCTCGTCCAGACACACTGACTGCACGTACAGACACACCCTTATCCGAACAGACATGACATGTATACCTCTTGACGAGCAGGTATGTCCCTAGACAATGACCTTTGCTTTAGGTTAGGATGTGCCTTTTGATATAGAACTGGACCTTTGACCTGCTGTCACGTTTCTGGGTCCTGGCGAGATACCCCTTTACAATGCTTTACTTTTACAAGGCCTGTATCGGGTAAAGGCCCTTTTACTCTCGCCGGCCTAGTTTCGAAGTCCTCTGAGAATCATTTACCTATCAATGATATGAATTCCTCTCTTCGCTCTTTCATATGCAGATACAATTTGAGGTGCAAAATCGAGTAATTCCTCTCTGGTAAACCAGCAATCTTCACTGGGATCCTGGTATTCAAATCTGACTTTGTATTGACGTTGTGGTCTGCCTCTACGCCCAGTGTGATAAGTACTTTCTGCAACAATTTTATCCACGTCATACTTCCCATCCATACTTGGAGGTACCGCTGATCGGCGACTTGGRAAGAGCTCATTCGTTACACAAGGTAAGAGCTTTGATGCGTGGAACACTGGATAAGTATGTAAATGTAGAGGAATCTCAATGACATATGAAGGGCCATCCACATCTCCAATTACATCTAGGACCTGCCAAGGCCCTCTGTAGGCGGGTAGGAGCTTTTGAGAAATGTTCTCTTCTGGCGCGAACTCCTTAGACTTCACCCAAACTAAGTCTCCTATAGCAAATTGAGACGGTCGTCTATGCTTATTTGCCTGTTCAATCATCTGATGCTGGGCTTTAAGTATATTTTCCTTTACCTTCTCAATGTCTTTCTGATACTGAATTGCGAATTCACTCGTTTCTAAAGGAAGCTTATGTACTTGATCCGGGTTTAATCGATCAACGGGCCTGCGTGGACGCCATCCCAGGTGTAACTCCATAGGAGTCTTACACGTAGATAGATGTACAGAGTTATTGTAGGCACTAGCAACCTTAGGCAGATGTTCATCCCAATCAATTTGATCGGGACGGATGTACATGCGCAAAGTCTGCTTCAATATCTTGTTCATCTGCTCAGTTTGGCCATTAGTCTCAGGATGCCTACCTGATGACATAGTCAACTTAGAGCCATACACATTCATTAGTTGCTTTCATTGTTCCCTCGTGAACCTTGTATCTCTATCACTGACAATAGTCAAGGGATGCCCAAAATCTTTTACCCAATGGTTGAAGAACTCTCAAATTACCAAATCAGTCTGTGCTTCCGAAGGCAAAGCTACAAAAACAGCATACTTAGTGAATCTATCCACTATGACCATTACTTGTGTTTTTCCATTTCTGCTTTTCACTTTAGTATCCATGAAGTCTATAGATACAGAATCGCCAGGGCCTGTAGGGATAGGCAAGGGCTTAAGTAACCCAAGGGGAGATTGTGTGGTGCTTTTGTTTCGTTGGCACACTTGACAACCTTGCACATACACGATACAGTCTGCTTTCATTCGAGGCCAGGTGTAGGAACGCAACAAAGTCCCATAGGTCTTCTCCCACCCAAAATGGCCTTCTGTATCATGACATTCCCCTTAGATCAAACTCTTGATCTCTTCATTATTTGGTATACATAGCCTATCATTCACATCAGTTCTTTCAAACAATAGACCCTGAGTAACCTTGTGATCAGGAAACTCTGCTGGCGTTTCTTGCACTCGCTTAATTATGGTTCCATAGACAGGATCAGAGGGATACGCGTTCCTATCTTTTCTTGAAGATCGGCACCAACATCTAAATATGTCACAATGGCACCGAAAAAATCAGATCTACCACTTAGTGCATCAGCAACAACGTTATACTTACCCTTTACTGGCTTTAGCTCAAAATCAAACATATCAATCTCCGCAGCCCACCTTATTAACTTAGGTGTCATACGAGCCTGCGTTTTAAGCCAGCGAAGTGTCTCATGGTCAGAGTATACCTTGAAATGCCTTCCCAAAAGATAGTGTCGCCAATGATTGAGAGCCTCATGAAGAGCATATAACTCTCTTTCATATGTCGAAGCGGCCACTTTCTCATTAGGCAATCGGCAAGACATAAATTCCACACGTTTGTATCCATGTCCATCGTCTTGCTGGAGTACAACACCTATGCCATATTGACTGGCGTCAGTTGTGACCACGAAAGGTAAGGAAGGGTCTGCCACTTTTAGAACCGGATAGTTAATCAAACACTTTTTCATACGCTTGAAAGACATTGTGCAGTCTGAATCCCACTTCCAAATTACCTCTTTCTTAAGTAACCTGCGAAGAGGAGCAGCTATTATCGTTAAGTGTCTTACAAACTTGCGATAATAGTTGGCTAACCCAAGAAACGACCGCAACTCAGTCAGGGTGCGGGGGTTCGGCCAATCTCAGATTGCTGCTATTTTAGCATCTTCCGGTTTGACCCCATCTCCGTCAATCTCATGTCCTAAATATAGAACCTGACGCTTAGCCCATTCACACTTCTTTGGGTTTATCTTGAGTTTTACTTCTCACAGTTTATTTAGCACAAGTCGAAGGTGCTCAACATGCTCTTTTTCATTTTTGCTAAAAATCAAAATATCATTAAGGTAGATAACGATAAACTTGTCAAGCCATTCACGAAATAGTTCATTCATCGTTCTTTGGAAAGTGGCAGGGGCATTCGTTAGACCAAAGGGCAAAACTATGAACTCATAATGCCCATACCTTGTCCTGAAGGCAGTCTTATGTTGGTATTCCGGCTCAACCTCAATCTGATGGTAGCCGGATTTCAAATCAATCTTTGAATATATTTTGCTACCCTGCACGCGATCCAGCAAATCATCTATGCGCGGTAATGGTTCAACATTCTTTACCGTTATATCATTTAACCTTCTATAATCTATACAAATGCGAACGCCGCCATCCTTCTTAGGCACAAAGAGCACAGGCGCACCATAGGGCGAGGAGCTAGGTCTTATCCATCCGTTCTTTAGCAACTCATCGAGTTGGGTTCGCAATTCATCCAATTCCTGGGGCGACATACAATAGATAGGCCCCTTCGGGGGCGCGCTCCCTGGAATGATATCAATGCGATGCCTGATGGGTCTTTCCACTACACCGCTCGGGGCTTCAGCCACATCTGCGAATTCTTTCAAGATTCTCTCAATCTCTTGAGACCCGACTTCTTTCTTATTTTCTCCTTCCTTTACTGGATGCACATATGCAACAAAGACTTGGTCATACAAGTTGTGTTTCTTTACATGGCGAGCGAGCGTTGGGGCACTCATGCAACAGTGAGCTAGGCTGCTTTCCTTTCCAGACTCATGATAGAGACAAATTTTCTTCTTACCTCCTTGCGGACTTTGGAGCCAACATTCATGTTCCCTTAATTTCAGATCCGCACTTGCAGCCTCGCCCCAATCCATTCCTAACAACACATCAAAGGGCAAGTTATCCTCCACCAAGAAGGTCAGAGAGTGGAGAACACGTTCCACCTTCCCCTCTGCCTCTAGCCGAAAGTATACTTGAACCCCCTCGACGTATCGATCCATAACGGTTTCACTGCTATCGGCTAACTTACTTACAATGGGCTCATTCAACTTTTTAACTTTAAGCCCAAGACGCAGTTTCTGCAAACCTTTCTTACTAATATAACTGCGTGTAGACCCACTGTCTACCACACCTCCAACTTTTATTCTATTTATTTCAAGATCTGCAATTATTAGATGTCCTTTCTTTTTTCTCATTTCAGTCCAGGCTCGGCGACGAGCGGCCAACTCATCACCCACGCCAGCGAGGGATCCATCTAGAGAGATGCATACGTTTGCCACCTCTGGACAGTGCACTAGATGGGGACTGTCTTCCTCTTCATTTTCTGCCATTGGAGCCTTCGAATGGGAGGATTCTGATTTTTTAACATTCAAAACCCCGGTAGAGGCAACTTACACCTCTACTGGCTGTTCCCTTTTGCCCCCCTATAATCCGGGCAATAGGGGACAATGTGGTCGGGGTCCCCACACTTGAGGCATTGGTCTGCTTTCTTTCTTTCTTGCCAGACTTTTTCTGTTATTCCCAATTCTTTCCAAGGCTCTCCTTCGGGTAGGCCTGGATGTGGTGGGTACGGTTTGTCCCACTTGTTATACCAAGTGCCCCTTCCTCTACCCCAGGTAGAGTAAGAACCACGGCCACCTTGTGAGGGACCATTTCCCCTTCCTCCCACGTAGTGGCTTCCTTCACCACCACCCCTCTGGGTGCCGAATCCTCGTCCACCACGGCCGCGACCTCTTCCTCGGCCACGCCCTCTTCCTTGACGCCCTCCCCCGCGGGCTACAACGGCCGCGTAACTCCCCTCCTGAGCTACCGGTCTGTTGCATTCGTCAAGACCATAATCTACTTGATCCCAAGAAATGGTCTCGGCGCCTCCTTCCTCAATGGTTAGAAGGAGACTGTCTTTCCCAGGTATTGACCCTGAGATCGTGCGGTTTTGCCATTTCTTTCCCGCTTGCAGATCCTTCCAATAATGGCAATAGTTCGCTTCAGCGAGGAAGCCGGCGTGATCTATTGCGATCTTGCCGAACTTCTCATACGTCATTCCTTCTTCTTTGACGCGGGGATAGAGTTGTGTCCTCAGGGGATCCGGGAGTGCTCGTGCAAAGCTATTTAAGATTTGGGCAGGAGTCAACCCATGATCAGGGCATCGCAACAGTTCATCCATAGTTGCCTTAAAGGCGGAGGTGCTTTTCCATTTCCTATCAGGGAGGTTGAGGATTAGCATTTCTGTACGTCGTGCCAAATTCTTGTCCTCAAATCTTTCTCTAACCAATTTCAAAAAATCTTCGATTCGCATTTGCTGCGAATACTCTACCATCGAGTTGCATCCCGCCTCCTTTTGCAGCGAGATGGCGAAGCTCATGGCGTCGCCTCCCATGCATGAACTTGCCATTAGCACCCTGTCCCAGTATGGGATTCGTTGTCCATATACATAGGTTTCTACTGCCGCTGCCCAATGCAAAACACTCTCTTCCTTCTTTCCATTATAAGTCCACGGCAGTTTGAGTTTTATTTTACTAACCTGCCCGGTCTCCTGCGAAAGTTTCTCCTTTGGATCACCCCTTATTTTCCCCTTCTTCTCATCATCGCCATCGTCATCACCATCTCCTCCTCCGCCTCCAGCGCCCTTTACAATTTTTTCTATAACTTCAGGAGTAAAGGTCTTAGTGACATGGTCATCCAAAGCCTTGATATATGTCTGAACATGATGGTCCACATCTTTAGCTGACTTTTCCAAGAAGCTATTCCAAACGTTCTCGAACTCAACCCGATGCGTCTCTACTCGTTGTAATGTCTGACGCATTAAGGCCATGTCCTACCTTGTGTGGAGGACGGCCTCTCTGAGGAGGGCAAGTTGTTCTTCTGTTGCAGGGGGTTTGTCCTTTTGCTCTTACAACGCTTTTTGCAATTTCCCCCCCTCTGCATGTAGTTTCTTCTTTTCTTCTACCTCTTGCCGTCTAGCTGCTAACAACTTGCTATTCAATTCAGCCCTTTTCTCCTCCATCATCAGATTGCGTTCGACTGCGTCTGTTACACGGGCCAACTTTGCGATGAACGCATCCCGTTCTTCGTCAGACTCTTTCAATGATTCGCTAGAGTAGTAGTACCGACCAGCCCAATCCAACGGCTCAACGGAAAGCCGGTCTGCTGTACTACTCTCAGGTATATCCTGGTGATAACGTCTTTGCAATGCTTCTCTTCCATCATGTTCTTCTTCTTCTTCTTCTTCTTCTTCTTCTCGTATACTCTTCAACTCTTCTTCTAACTCCTTGTCCATCTTTTCTTTCATCTTTCTCTTTGCGTCTTCTTCTTTCTGTTTCTTCTTAGCTTCTTTTCCTTTCTTCTTTTCTGCCAGCCTGCAGTCAATCTCTGCCTGTTCCGCAGATGTGGGGCCAGGCTTAACACTTCCTGACCTCATAAGCATCCTCGAGGTGCAGGTTCTCCCAAATCCCAGTGGAAAGATAAACCGGAACAGCGGTCCCAATAAGACAGAAAGGGCCAACAGGCCCTGAATGGGGTAGTCATCCATGGTGAAGGCCGGCACAGGAGGTCCTCCACCAGCTCACCACGACACTATCCCAATCAACTTACTTGCCTACTAACTCAATCTTAGTCTGTGGTGAATGAAGTCCCGACTTTCGTTTTTTTTTTTTTTTGTCAACTGTGGAAGGTGCTGCTTATAATAGACACTTGATCAAAATCAAAAACAATGCTTGTTCTTTATATATCTTTTTTTTTTTTTTCTAAAATGCTGTCTGGCTGTCCTGGATCAGACTTTTGCAATGCGTTGCTTGTATCTATACTCCCCCCCCTATACTGGATTGTTCAACTAACTGGCTGGTTGTCTGATGCAGGTCTGGAGTAAAGCGCAGAAAGGTCAGATGCAAATGGTTCACTTAATCAACCAGGCAGAAATATCTTACTCCAGTTTTCTTTCTTTCGGGCTTAACTGGCCCTGTAAATGCTCATCATCATGTTTGAGCTGCCTGGTACTTGCAGTCTGACGTGGCATATAGCCACTTCCCACATCGATTCTTAGTCCCTCATAACGATACACAGCCTGCCTATCAAAGGGGTAGAAGAGAAATTTACTCCTACTCGCAGAACACTGGACCACCTAATCTAGTGTGACCAGGCCCTGACACATTGCATTCGGATCATCCAGACTTCGATGATTCAGACTCTGACTTGCTAGGACGATCCAGATCCAGTCCTGACTTCCAGTCCAGCAGCGGTCACCTTCAGAGGGCAGAGAGAGAGAAGGTAGGGGACACACGCATGCATGCAGGTTCAGGGAAAGGAGGTGCTTCTCTCTTCTTGAAGATACCGCCGATGATGCTCCACGATGCTCCGCACGCTCCAGGTAAGTAGACTTCGCCACTTCTTCTTCGGCCTGCCTCCCCCACTATCACAATACTTCTCCTCTTCCTCCCTCCTTCACTTATCCTCCATCACCACATCTTCTCGCCGGCCTTGATCATGCCAGCGCTATGAGTGCAGCGAGCATCTGCTCCAATACCAAATTTGCATAGGTCCTGAAGACCATCTCACGCAAGTGTGTACATGTCACGCATCATCCTTGCACACAATGATAACGAGTCTCACACATTAGACAAAGGTAGATCAAACATATGATTACAAAGAGTTTCAATGCTCCCTGAGTCCAACGCTTATCAATGCAATGCCAATCCAGCATCAACTCATCACTGTGACTTCCATACATCAGCGCTACTTCTGCAGATTGTATCCTGGTCATCAATGTGGTCACTACTC